AAACGGTTTTGTATCGCTTCCTCTCATCCGCGGTGATACCAGTTGAAGAATATCTCCGATGCAGTAGAAAAGAGTGTTTACTTGCTGGCCAGTCGTCCGGGTTCTGAAGTTGAACGGGTCCGGAGGTTTCAGCTGGAGCCAGGCCATCTTCTTTTGCACGATCCCACCGCTGCCACCATGTAGAATCTTGGCTCAGCCACGGGAAAATAGGATAATCTTTCAATACAGTGTACAGTCTTTATAGACATAGTGGAGCCACAAGGGGCATGGGGAGTATAACTGTGTAACCATGAACAGACGACTACTAGACTGATACAAGACAATTGTGACGATGCAACGACATAACCATGTCTCAACAACTTGGTAGCAAGGTAGAAAGGCAAGGCAAGGCAAACAAGTCAACTACACCCAGGACAGCTTTAAAAGAAGAGTTGCCCTGGGTGGGATTCGAACCCACGACACTCGGCAGTCTAGGCGAGCGCTCTACCAACCTAGCTACCAGGGCAACTCAGCTGGTAGGGGTTCGAATCTACAACACAACACAACACTAAGGCACACCTCAAACCACTGTGCTATAGCATAGTACACTCTCACTCAGATTAACCATTTCAATGCCCTTATTATGGTAGCATATGTTCATAAATCCTGAAGCACTTTTAGATGGTTTGTCTACATGGTTAGTCTCTATATGTGAGGCTCTCTTCTTGAACGCTATCATATCCTTCATTAAAACTACAACGTGATCAGGTATTTCGTGCTCCGAAGTCCAAGCTTGAAAGCTAGTCCATATAGCTACCATACACTTCTTAGGTAAGCTATAGATTAAACTCCTGACATTAAACATAAAAACATGACACTTATAACCACGCAAGCAATCCTCAAGGCGCGAAGTTAAATTATCAAAATCTATTTTTCTTCTACGTTTGTGGCTATTTCGTTTTCAAACTTTCTTTGTCTCTTATTAAACAATGTATACACCACTAATCCATGCTGTTTTGATATATTACCAACACCACAAACATTATCATTCAGGCCATACGGATAGTAAGTACAAAGTTCCCTACACCAGTAATCCTCTCTTTCAAGTCTTTTGAGACGTAGCACTAACCCTATCATTAGATGGTAATTCTTCAATGGGCATAATGCTCATGTCTTCTACTGAATGTCCGTCTGAACTGTGCTGCAACGGATTGTGACAAATTAGTGGATGAGCATTTGAAGTTTATGACAGCCAATCGGATAGTAGTACAGCCTGAATGTGAATGCTTACCCCTGTTTTATTGGCTTCCAAAGTTACACAAAAAGCCTTATGGTTCTAGGTTTATAGCTGCTTCACATAGGTGCACTACAAAGCCTTTATCTAAGTTACTTACTAGTTGCTTTAAATTAATTACCAACTATTTTCGACAATACTGTAATGGCATTTTTTTGTAGAACTGGAGTTAATTGTTTTTGGATTATAGATAACTCACAGCAAGTTCTTTCAACCTTAAATAAAATGAATTATTTTTCTACCGCTAAACAGTTAGATAGTTATGATTAATTTTTTCAACGAGTATTCCTCATTGTTTGCTCAAACAAGCCTTACAGTCTTTAATCAAGGAGGCCTACAAAGTGAGAGACTGTGTGTTCCTTATAGCCGACCATGCTGGAAGAGCATATTGGTCAAACACACCATCATCATCGTCATCTAAACATAACATAACTGAAGGACAGCTTGTTGCGTATGTGGAATATCTGATTGATTATATTTATGTTAGTATAGGCGATAGAGTGTACAGACAAAGTGTGGGGATTCCGATGGGCACGGATTGTGCGCCATTAGTAGCAAATTTGTTTCTCTTCTATTATGAATATCAGTATGTAAGGGGCCTAATTAAAAACAAATTTGGTGTTGGCTAAAAAATTCAATAATACAATGAGATACATTGATGATCTTTTAACACTAAATAATACTGGATTCAGGTACTCAAGATTGTGTGTAGTTTTTCGACGGTTTGCGAAGAAACATGTGTGGTTTGTAGGCAAATATGGTTGTAGCATACGCAGACATATTGAAGATGGTGTATGTTTACCAGCAATGGATCCGTTCCAGAGTCGCCACGTCTCACGCAGATCTATTTAAACGATTTTTTTAAAAACGTGTGCATACAACTGTGCACTAAATAGAATCATTGCAAAGCCGCTCTGGTGCTCATGAGCCTGGTCTGCACGTAAGTGTTATTCTCTCGTCGTGTATTATTCTATGCGGGTACCTCTGTTACTTGCACTTTGCTTGGTTCTGCAACTTACTTTGTCAGCATACCACAGTGATTTAGCCTATCTTTTAAATTACCAGCAAAACTTTTGTTTAGCAGAGTTCATCTCCGTCTACGCTCAGTCACTACCGGGCATCGCACTGTCCTGGACGTCACCACTCTCTGTTTTCAATTAGAACAGCTGAGAGAGTTTCACGTGTGAAGACCCTGACCCTAGAATGTCCCCAGCAGAAGTGCATGAGTACGACAAACAACAACAACTTTTGCTGGTTAACGAAACATATTTTTGGGATCATTTTGCCATAGGATAAGTTTATCTATCAAAGATGTACGACATAAAAAATCTCGGGTATATTGACTCGGGTATATTGACTCGTATACAGACTCAGGATGCTTTTTTCTAGTTCATGACAACACGTACGTATTCTGTTTCAGTAACGCTTTTAAGGAAGTGGAGAACTTATTCACTTAAACTCTGCTCCACGTTGCTTACAGCTCGATTTTGACTCCCAAAAGAGCATGGTAAGAATTTTCAACCTTTACAGCTTCAACTTTAAGCCTTCCGGGCCTCCCTCCCTAACACTCTGACCTATTCGCTAAAAAACAAAACGCAATAATTTTCTTCCAGAAACACATGCGACAGTGCGACATGGGGTGTCAGGAACACAAGTTGATCTAAAGAATCCAATGACACCAGAATGCGAATGTGCAGCAAGGGTTACAGTACTTGGTTTCTCTCTCTCTATCTGTCGACGCTTTTTCTGGCATTACAAGCTATGAGGCGGCCTATTAGCGATACCATCGGCTTCAGAACTACGTGAGCCTGAAAATTAAAACTGTGATTTTCCTGAAGCATCTGTGTTTGAGAGATATGCCATGAAAGCAAGCGAAAAAGCCAATATGCATAATCTCTTGCTCTGTGTTTATTCCTTGGAGGCTCAAGAAGTCACAACTAAGGGCGAGTGTCGACTCCCGCACACTATCTACTTGTGTAGCTAGGCCATGTCAGACTCTCCGCCAGCTACTAGCGTGGAGACCACGAGAGTAAACGCATGCTCTTGGCCCAACCCATCAATTAGCGGTACCATGCATGCACATTTTTCACCAAGGATGTGCACTTTAGTGCTTTTCATTGAGATTGGACTTAAACTCACAACAATGTTTTTAGGCAGAGCACTGAGGAGCTCAGCCGGCAAGCAATGCAATAACACAATGCAAACCAAAATATGTCCATAGCTGCACACATTATCATTTACGTATGTGTTCTGCTTTACTACTATGAAAACATGGGTCTCGTCATGGAAAAGCATGCCGAAAGTCATGAGGTAGTGAACTTCGGGTACATACATAAAAGGGATGCAAACCTTTTCCCATTCTGCAACATCATGACTATTGTGCAACTGAGAAACAATTGACCTCAGGTTTTCCGCCATTGTGTTTGCGTTCCCTGTTAGTTAATATTGCGCGTATTTCTCTGATGAGATTACCAGCGGTGTAAGACCTACTAGGAATCAAAAGAGTATCCATCAAGAAAGTGGTAGCTTTGTGGCATTATCAAAATGTTTGTGGCTTGTTGAAAGTGTTATTAGTTTGTTTGCTGACAGTCTATTTGTTTTATAGTTAAGTGTTTATTGTCATGGTTGCATATTAACAAATTTTCCAACAATTCAAGGGATGGCTGTCTAACTTTGTTCAAATATTCAAGGGATGGCAAGGGGTGGCGGCGTGTGAGCTCGATGGGGTGGCGGGAGCAATCCATCGCCATCCCTTAAATGAAACCCTGCAGTGTACGTACACGAAGGTAATCAATCGATTAGCTCAGTGTCACTAATGCCTTCCCTCCTCAAATCAAAAATATACTTTCGGCACTGCATCAACCGAGGGATAATTATTGCTATTGCATTATACCAAATTTGCCAAACTCACCTGCCATATTCATGTTCCTCTTCAACATGTCTGCTACAGTGTGATCTGCCATTTTTGATTATCTATGAGTCCCAGATCTATGTAGAGCATACAGGTTGCAGCTTCGTTTTGTGGTGTTACAAAAAGTCTGGGGAGCATTGTTATCACCCTGAGTATACAGCCTCCAATTATTAACAATACACTCTTAACTGTACACTAGCTTAGCACATGTCCTAGCTCTTGTGTGAACAAAGTATACTGTTATGTCTCAAGAATTTACGCTTCTTCCCAAATATTTTCCAGACATTAGGATCAGAGTGGAATAGAACAATCTCCAACAGGACTTTGTCTTCATCAGTACTCTACGTGTCAGTGCAGTTGTTAATCCTTCTCTTGCACCGGAAATACTGTTGCCTGCTCCAGCCTGGACCTTCAAGGGCCCCTATCTCTCAGGGGGCAGGCTTGAGATGTGCCAGCAGACGGTCCCCTTTGAGCTTGCCATTTAATTATTTTAGACTGGTAGGCTAGGGGTAGAGGTACTTTAACTCAAAACCAAAAAATCTTCCTTGCAAACTACCTTTAATAGCGATGGTTTGTCTACATGAAGGGAAGCACTTCTCTATACGTTTTAACCCTAGAGCTCCTAGCACAAGTGATAGATTTGTCCTCGCCTCTTTTAGGCAGGGTACTCTCTGCTGTGCGACAGAACATCTTATAATGGAAACTTTTGTATAATGCATGGCATGCATAATTTTGTATGGTATAATCAGGTGTCTTATTTCACGTAGACCGCCAGCTGTCAGTTAGACACCTGTTGCTTTTGGTTACATAACGTTCATAGTTCATTATGCAATAGCTGCTTTCCCACTAATGCGCAACTACAAATAATTTTGCGTTTACAACAACAACCACTGTAAGACTACAAGTGAAAATTTACAGTGAAATTAGAAGCTCCAGAAAAGGAAACGTGGGCCATTTTGCCAGAAGCAGGATCAGTATTCTCTTTACTGATCATAGTCTGGTTCACTTTCTCGGTGTCTGCAGGTTTAGATCGACTCTCCACAGCTCTCAAATTCAAAATATCAGACGTCTTTTCTTTCAGATGTTCAGTCACACGCTTGTACGATCTTACTCCAGCAGAACTACAGTGTCCAGTGCGTGCCATTATCAGCTGCTCGTCTAAACCAGCATCAAAGAGACGTGTTGCGCTAGTGGCATGGAGAGAGTGATTGCTGTAATGCCCTGCTATTCCAGCAGACTTGAAAAGACGAGCAACAGTGCCTGCCAACACATTGTGTCCAACAGCAGACCTTTTATACCACAGATCGCCTTTAGGTTTGGTCAAAGGACGAAGGTAAAATGCATCGTCTGGACGATCTTGGGACACTTTGAATTATATAGCCTAAACAATCGCAACAAGCACCGTTCAGGGAATTGAACATTAGCATGATGCACAACTTTCTTCGGCAGCTTTTTACGATGAAGCAACCCCCCTTGGTTTGTCTTCGACACATTTTCAGTGTAAACAAGGTAAGGTGTAGCATCTGCATGCTCAACTACTTGAAGCTGAGATGGCCTATATCGTAGCTGCCGATGCTCTCCCCCACGGATTGCAAAATATAAACCAATGTAAAAAACCAAAGTATCCAATAGCACTTGGGGATTTCCATCTCCAAGCAAGCCTTTGGCCCAAAGCGCATCTTCCTGCTCAACATCGACAACCTCAGCTTGCAGCTTTTTATACTTCCCTGTACTTCGAAGACGCTTATTTCTGCATCTAAAGTACCTTGAAAACGACTAAATTTCGAATCTGTTAAAAGCTTGATGTCAGCACGATCACTGAACTTGAAACTTCTTTGAAGGCTTGAACAAATACTGTACAAAGAATCTGGAGGGTAGTGATGCTTATCTTGGAGCCTAACCTCCAACACAAACTTAGGCAGCCAAAATTGCAATGCCTTAATACTCATAGTAGCAATATCCTCACTGAGCTCATGGTTTCCTTCGAGTGGATCAACAACGGGAAGAGTTTTACGGACTTTGGCCCAGGCCGACCACACCCCGCAAGCCCAAGACGTCTGCCTACGAGTCTTCGGCGGCACTCCAGACTTTCTAGCCTCTTCCACAGTTGTGGAGGTAACAGGCGCACCAAAACGATGGTGGATTTCACGATGGTTACTGCTACTGTCATCCTCCTCCGTTTCGCGCGCGCTCGCCGCCTCGTAGTCTTGAGATGCAGCAAGCAGGAGCTGATCGATTTCAGAGTCTTCCGTCGATCCCACGTGTTCTTCCGGATCTGTGTTCATCGGCTGGCATTCCTCACCGACCTCCGAAGCAGTATCTCGTCCGTCATCTGTGTCCCAACCTTCCACGCAGAGATTCCAGCGATCACCAGGGGCAAAATGAGTGGGATAGTCACCAGTTAGCACAAGCAAGCTCGAAGAAACGACTCCATCCTCCGTTTCACTCACTGTAGCGTCCACCATCCCCTAAGCAAGTCAGACACCTTCTGCGTGTGACAACTCTGTTTCAGATTCTGAGTGGTCGGTCACGGAATGATGCAATAGTGACCGAGGCGCATCCGAGGTTACTATTGCATCATCCGTGACCTCCCACTCGGAATATATAACCACTTATAGCCTACCTAGTAGTGGTTCCCATACATTTGGATAACACTGTAAATCAACTAAACCACAAAGTAGGTGTCAAGAGGGGCTATAACTAGGTGTGGGGGCATATAACCAGGGGCTATATCTGTTGCAACAAGATTTCATGAATTTCATGACTTACAATGACTCAGTGACTCTAATCAAGGAATATAAACCGCAACATACCGATATTAGGGGTGTGATAATTGGTTTATAGCCGTTTTCCGCGCGCGGCATCCGTATACTGCAGTATACTGACCGTATACGCAGTTTGAAATCTCGTTTGAAAATGGCGACGTCTTCTAGAAGCTCGAAGAATCTGGACCTACTTGTCCCGGACGGGTGGGCAGAGAGCGATCTATCCTCGGAGGCGGAGCCACCGCCAAAGAGAAAACGTCTCTCCTTGCGTAATAAGACTAACCAGACGGAGCCACGTACGACGGACCCGGGAGAGCCGCGTAACCGTTTTTTGACGTCGGAGGAAGAGGCCGCTCTCTCTGAGAAATGTATTCCTAAAAATACAGCAACTAGTACCAAATGGGCAGTTGCCAATTTTGAATCTTGATTCTTCGAGCTTCTAGAAGACGTCGCCATTTTCAAACGAGATTTCAAACTGCGTATACGGTCAGTATACTGCAGTATACGGATGCCGCGCGCGGAAAACGGCTATAAACCAATTATCACACCCCTAATATCGGTATGTTGCGGTTTATAGGCCCTCCCCCTCGGGCGCTACGCGCCCTCTGGCGTCGGGCCTATAAACCAGCAACATACCTCTTAGGGGTGTAATAACTAATACGTAGACGCACGCCGCAGGTGTCTAACCTACACGTAGTTGAAATTCTCTTGAGGCGAGTACAGCAACTAATGCTATAGATCTGTTGTATCAGCATTCCCTTGGTGATTTCACACAGACATACAAGTGGGAATTTTATAGCTGGTTTAACGCTATGGCTCCAAAGTGATGTTAAAGTACTTAGAGATTGGTTATTTTTATGTATCTACCACCTATACGCATAGCTAATGGCGGTACATTTAATGATTATTTAGTGTATTTTACACACTTGCCTGTTTACACCCACTGCTTCATGTGTCTGGGAGTTGTACGTCATAATTATAATAACATTAATAACTGGTTTCTCTTTCATAACAGAGATGTTGAGGTTTGCCTTTCTGAGCCCTTCCTGCCTAGTGGTAGAGTAGTGTTGCGGGCTTTACTATCGACCCTTTTTCCCAACTCATGCTTTTCTGTGCATTTTTTTATTTTATGACCATGCGACACAGAGGGGAAGAGGGTCTAGCAAATGTCATTAAATGGGCAGAGTTTACATTTTGTGTGTGTAGGTGTGTAGTGTAAAATACTGTAGCACGTCGCTGGTTTTGACGCGAAGAGCCACAGCTGCATGTTTTACTTGGTCTACCACGAGATTGACACTTTGAGATTGGGTGGGAAGACTTACTGAACTCCAGGTTTAGCTGAAAGCAATCGTGAAATTATCGAGTTCAGAAATCCACCGATAGAGATAGTGTCTACCTTGAGTCCCTACTCAAAGCAGTGTTGTATCCATGTGCACTTTGATGATTGACAGTTTTATTATATCATAATATTCGGTAAATCTGCCTACCCAATGCCACGCTTGTATGGTGGACATTACAGTGGAGATTATGGGGAACATTTTTACTATTCCGTTGCTGTTGCGTTGTTTATAATTTCTTTGTTCCGTTTTGGTTTCCTCTCTCTTCCGTTATTACTATTTTTGTGATGTCTGCCAAAACTACATTTCAGGTATACTGCTGCCATTAGTTATTCCTCGTAATACTATATAGCCTGAATATCCTTAGTCATTTACCCCCAGTTCGCATAACAGAATTTCTTTGATCTCTTCAGTATTCACAGACTCCTCTGGACCTGGCCAGCTACTATGGTCACCTCCAGGTAGTTCATCTGCTTACTGGCAGAGGGTCAGAGGTGGAGTGTAAGAACAAGGTGAGACAAAAGCCCATGTCATGAAAATGATGCTAGATTATGTAGTCACATCATGGACAGAGGAAACCTCTGATTAGGTCATTCTCATCTAATGACACCATACTGTCCAGAGACCAGCTGTAGGCCTCCCTATCTCACTCACCACTAGAATGATGCAACACATTTTTGGCAAGTAAACCGGAGAGTCACGTATGCAGTGCTAAATTTCCCTATTTACAATTGCGCAAACACAATGCTAATGAAAGTGCCATCGTCATTGGTTACATTACATACATACAAACAGTAAGCTCACTTCACTTGCCAGCTAGTACAGGTACATCTTACCTTTGTTGGCCTGTTCACCCCTGGGCAGGGTGATGATGCATCCTCTAAATGAGCTTGTCTTAAAACCTTTACCATGATAATACTGCAATCTCGCAGGGTGGATGGACACCTCTAATGTCTGCTGCGGATGAAGGTCATTGTGATGTAGTCATTGACCTACTGTCACTTGGTGCTGATATCAATGCTCAGAATAAAGTAAGTCATCATTTCATTTCTAAACTCATAGTGATGAGTTGGTATACAGAGCTATACCACACCTGTGATTCTGCATACCTTTTCAATGGTCACTGGGAGAGAGGGTCTAAATGTTGCCACAGAACATTAAATGTAGCCAATTTCATGGGTACTGCACACAACATGCGAATATAGATACGTAGCTCTTTGGATGATAAGCTAAAACAAATCTGACTGTTCCACTGCTTGCAATACATTGTGTTCAAAGGTCGAAACTTCTGGCACCACGTGGGAGCCTGGGGAAGTCATATTTAGAGTACCATCGGAAATGTCAGAAATAATATGTATTCATTATTATTAACAGTCGAGGGTATTTCAGCAGTGCTCGAACTCTAAATATTTTGTAGCCAAACGATACACATGCTCAGATACGTCGTCATCTTCTGGATAAACACAGGCTAATTCGTGAATTTTGCCATGTCAGAAATGGTGCATTTGGTTAATACGTAGGTGCTACCGGTAAGACTGCCTAAGGGATGCACTGCATGCTTGTACGGTACAGGGCAAAAAATGCACCGTAACTACCCTCTAAGTTGCTTCCATGAATGAAAAGCACTTGGAAGTCGCCACTGTTTATTATGGAGTTTCAACATTCAGTTGTCTGAAGGGAAGAGAAGATCAGAGACTGCTCTCCCTTTACAGCAATATTTAGTGTATAATTATTTTGTGTATAAACATAGTTTCTCCTTTCTTCATGCACATCAAATGACTTGACAGTACATAACCCTCCCACTTTATTCTTTATTAGCAACTACTAGCTACACTGTCTGTCCTTTCCTCAGTGATTCCATCACTGAAATTCTCTCACTTCTCCAGCAATCTCACTCCCACTCAACTGTACCATCAATACATGCAGACCAGCAAGTTTAGTGATATCGAATTTACTCCTGTCCTTGCTACTAGCCTCCCATACCTTCTCCACATATGCACAACGTTTCTAACTACCTTGTCGTCTTCTGGAAAAACACAGGCTAATTCGTGAATTTTGCAATGTCGGAAATGGTGCATTTGGTTAATGGGTGCTCCTTGTAAGACTGCCTAAGGGATGTCCTGCATGCTTGTACGGTACAGGACAAAGAACGCACCCGTAACTACCCTCTAAGTTGCTTCCATGAATTAAGGGATAAATGAGAGTACAGTGGCGTAATGTGTAGCATTATTGGTGAGTGGGAACGGGCTAACCTGGTGGTGCCAATGATGCGATGGTCTATACGTGGTTTCAATTCCTTCCATCTGCTTACTGTTATTGGTAGTGCTTTCAGCATCCTCTTGACTGGGATTCCATTCAGCAGCTTTTACATCGTGCTACTGTCAGCTTCTAATACTTTTTCTGTAGTAACTGCCGCATGCTTACCATCACTGTTTGTGGACCTTCCAAATTGTGTTACGTGATGATGCTAAGTGTGCATTCATGCTGCATAATCTCATGAATATTGTTCCACATTTGCGTATATGGCAAAAACGGTATACATTATGCCTTCAAACCTGTTGTTATGCCTCACCAGTGAACTAAACTACTGCTTGCCTCTCACTCTAACCATTCTTCAGTTTGCTTTGCTCACTGCTGCTGTTGAAGATATCAAATCAATTGCTACAGAGAATGCACAGTCTTTGGATTGGAGGATTGCAAAAAATTGTCATTTTCCATCTTTCTATCCCCACATTAGCCTTAACAGCAGATGAATCTGTCCTTTGCATGCACTTGTAAATGCAAGACGCCCATCTCCCTCTATGTAGCTGATAGTACGTCTTCTTGTGTGTGTGGATACACATTTAGCTAGTGACAAGAGAACATGTAGCTAGTGGCAAGAGACCATAATATTATGGTCTTGTATGCCCCTCTTGTCACTCTTTCATATTGTTATATGCACAGCACCAACATTTTAATCAGTGGCCTAATGGGCATTAATGGCTAGAGTGTGCACACAGCTGCTTTGGGATTATTCTGTCATCATGAGAAATTTGTTCCACTACTGCGACTCTAACACTTCAGCAAAAACAGTTTGGTTCAAAATGAACCTGTCAACCTTCCTGGTAGGAAGATCAGAGTCACTTCATCTTGAATGTACTGCACATGTACACTCTATAATAGGAGTCTCTCATCACACAGGATGGAGACTCAGCACTGATAAAAGCAGCCAACTGGGGTAAGACTGATGTTGTAGTGGAGTTGGTGAAGGGAGGAGCCAATTTGGACCTACAGAATGAGGTATGTATAGTGATGAATACAGGGTACCGTATTCTCCTGAGTCTAAGTCACACCTGTTTGAATTTCTTACTGTGCTCGCTGTTACAACTAATAAGATTATCAAGCAGGTTTCTTTGCTGTATGGCGGCTGCAACGTTTAACTTAGCCTTTGAGTATATACCCACAATGCAGCAATGTGTACTTTTACATTAGTCTGCAAGTCATTTTCCGCGATGAATATGGTTGGGAATTTACTCAACCTTACTGGTCGGATGATCAGAGTTACTTCATCTCTAATGTACTGCACGTGTGCATTCTAAAATGAGAATCTCTCATCACACAGGATGGATACTCAGCACTGATGAAAGCAGCCTGGCTGGGTGAGACTGATGTTATAGTGGAGTTTGTGAACGGAGGAGCCAATTTGGACCTACAGAATAAGGTATGTATGGTGATGAATAGCTACAGGGTACCGTATTCTCCTAAATCTAAGTCACACCTGTTTGAATTTCTTACTGCGCTCGCTCTCATAATTAACAGGTTTATAAAGCAGTTTTTTGCTGTATTGCTACTGGGCCATGTTTTACTTAGCCTTTGAGTGTTCACACACACAAGGAGTACCCACAATGCAGCAATTTATACATCAGCAGTTGTCTAAAGGCCACTTTCTGTGATGCAAAATCCGTGTGGCGCTTGATTGAGCCGGGCTAACTAAATTCAATGAAAGTACAACTGGTAACTGAGGGAATGCATACACTGTCTCGGGTGGGGGGTCCTCTATACGCGGCAGCTTCGGCGACTCTACTGCCAGGTCTGGTTGTTGCCGCCCCATGTCCTCCCTGGCCAGGAGAATGGACAGGATCGAGCGATAGGGCCATGGAGGCCTCGTGAGACCCCTGACGGCCCCGCTACATGACATACATACATACGGCGAGGAGACACCCGTTCCAACTACGGAGACGACGGAGACCAACGACGGCACCGACATGTCTTAGATTACTGATATACCACTCTATCTTGAAGAACAATATGTATGCCCTTTCCTGGTTACCATTCTTCAATGACATCTGATGAAAATCAGTTTGGGCATTAACACACCACTGATGGCTATTGGTATAACCAAACTTATTGGCAGGCAAAACGATATTATCTGAATTTCATGATTATGACTGGCACTGCATATTAGCAATAGCATAGCTGATGTACTCTGATGAGCTTGTGTTAACAGCTAAAATAACATGAAGTAAGTCTTCCCGATTAACGTGGTTACCACTCTGGCTACATGTATACAAACCATTTTGTATGAAAAGAGTTTTTCGGCAGTTACGTGACTCTCTGAATGTTGGGTGAAGTACAGTAGCTCAGCAGTTTACTGACTCAGGCATTGAGAAAAATGCAATAGAGATGACACATTATTGTGAACCAATCTTTAACTAACTGTCAACTTTTGGCATGTTTTCTAGATGGTTCTTATTTTAGAATCTTTGTTGACTCTCATAACACAGGTTGGGGACTCAGCACTGATGGAAGCAGCCTGGCGGGGTAAGACTGATGTTGTGGTGGAGTTGGTGAAGGGAGGAGCCAATTTGGACCTACAGAATAAGGTATGTAGCTATAGTGATGAATACAAGGTATCCAAGATGTTCAGCCATTGTCATTGTAGTACCTAGGTCTTAAACAAGTATGGAGTGCTGTTTGCCAAAAAAGCATCTTCATAATCAGTGATTTTCTAATGCCAAGAATGTTCTGCCATTTTAATTAATATGAATCATTTATAATTTTGCCAATCAATCACAAATTGATCACATAATGTATTTCAATTCGTCTAAGCATGTGACCCAATTTTTATTCATAAGCTGGTGCAAGAGGCTTAGACTGATAACTAAGTACAGGTGGACATTCAGTTTAAGAACTCAAATTCATCTAAATTGATTTTGTTAGAACAAGAACCAATCATGAAGTTAAATACCAACATTTTGCTTTGTGTGTCACATGTTAATTGAATGGTAAATTTTGTCACTTGCATTCCATAGCTAAATAAAAGCACTATAGTGCAAACCCTCGGCACACTGTACACACGTGCATATGGATGCATAGTAAGTAGCGCTAATTGATGGGCTGGGCATACTCGCAGTCTCATGCCAGCACACTTAGAGTCTGTCACGGGCTAGCTACACTACTAGATAGCTTGTGAAAGTTGATACTCTCCGAGGGCTAACTAGAGCGTTTAACTCTGCCCGTCAGTTGTAACTACTATATTATACAAGTAAATAAAAAAATTCTTCCAATTAAAAACGTGTGGAATATAGAGATGCCATAAAAAGTAAGGAGACAAGACAGGGATGACCTAGTGAACATGATGCAGTAGTACAATGGATGATGGCTACATACTTTTAACTGACATCACTTGCTCGTGTAAAATTTCCTCCACACGAGCCCTATATTGTCGCAAAGTACGAGTGTGCTCCCCTGTATGATGCACAGCTACGATATTTCATAAGAACATTAGACAGGTCATCTGCTCGGTTTTCAGTTGTGACTGCAGTGTGTGGAGTCTAAGACTTCTACATTTGCTCAACTAACCAGTTTTACAATGCAACATTCGTCTACATACAGAATGCTTTCACCGTTGTCCTCACACTTCACTAAACAAACAGTAAAGGTGGTGACAATATAGGGCTTGTGTGGAAGAAATTTTACACGAGCAAGCGATGTCAGTTCGAATCATCCACTGTACTACTGCATCATATTCAGTTGGTCATCCCTGTCTTGTCTCCGAACTTTTTATGGCATCCCTATATTCCACACTTTTTAAAATCAAAGACTTTTTTATTTACTTGTCTCCTTTTTTACTGCATTCACATGCATGGTTGGGCACCCATAGAAAAAAGTAATCTTAGTTAAGCTATCGCCTCTGACGTTTTGTCATCATTCACATTACATCAGTGCACCAAGTTTCATTGTGAGAGGACTCACCATAAAAGTTATAGGCACTGACACCATTTAAAAGTCTTTTTTGCCTGAGGCTGTTTGTTGTTGTTTACAACCTTGTAATTTCTGTTTCGATGAACTCTTATCATGGTGACTCAGTGTACCAAGGTTCATTGTTAGAGGACACACCACTAGACACAAACACCATTTACAAGTTTTTATTGCCTGAGGCTGTTTTTTGTTGTTTACAAGCTTGTAATATCTTGTTTCGATAAACTCTCATCATGGTACATCAGTGTACCAAGTTTCTTTGTTAGAGGACCAACCATAAGCAAGTTGGAGGTACAAACACCATTTACAAGTTTTTATTGCCTGAGGCTGTTTGTTGTTGTTTACAAATTTGTAAATGTTTACGTTTTGATGCTAATGATGGGTTGCATGTGTGTACAAAGTTTTATCATTCTGGGTATTTGCTCTACCTAGTTATTGGTCTATATCATAATGTGTGGCCTGGGGCTATTTTTCTTGTTATTTGTTGTTTACATGTAAACACAATTGTTTACGAAGAAATAAAAATGCTCTTGCATGAACTGTCATGGATTCCAATCTTTGTGCAAAGTTTCATCTCCATATCTTAAGTGGTTTTTGAGATACGCTTGTTGAAACTGAACAACAACAACAAGAAGAAGAATTTTGAAAGCTGACTTTTTAAAAGTAAGTCAGAGATCATGAACTTCGTCGTAGTATAATTATAGCAATATAACTGACAATGTGTAGTTAGCACACTTTATTGGTCTATTAGAGAGTCGGTAGACTCTCTAGCTATATAGGGATGACGCGGGTGAAATCTCACGTGATCC